ACAAAAGCTTATTGTAAATATTAAAATTTCTTATGGTAGAATTTTAGACCCTCAAAAAAGTCTGAGAAGATATTTTGGATTGGGAGACTTTTTCAGAACTCTCTAAGGCCAGAATTTCTGAAAGTAGCTAATTATTATTATTTTTTAAAACATTTTTATTGAATTTATTGGGGTGACATTGCTTAATAAAATAATATAGGTTTCAGGTGTGAAAGTAGCTCATCTTTTGTGGTTTAAATCATAGGATCTTTTATTTTCAGAAGGAGAAATTGGAGGCATACTAGCTTCCATTTTGACTGTTGATAACCAAAGGCATTTATCTGTCCTTCTTGGAGTCTAACTAGAAAAAAGTGTCAGATCTCTGAGTGTTCTATCCTTATTGCAAATGTATACCTCATAATAAGGTTTGGTCATAAAGGTTTGGATGCATAGGCCACATTCACCAGCATAAAGAAAAATCAAATTAAATTTCTCTATATCAATCTAATCAGTCACTGTCACTCTTGCAGCTAACCCGAAGCCCTTTACAGAAGAAACACTAGAATGTTTTGTTAATCAAAGGACCATATTGAATGTGCTCAACTGTTACATAATTAGTATTTTCCACTGCAAGTCGAAAAGATTTGGAAGAACTGCCATAATATGGAGTTTAGCCTTGAATGTCCATTACCAGCAAATGGAATGATTGGAAGAATATGATATTCTAGTCTATAAGAAATATGCACTTTACTGCAGTCCATTTCTCTCCTTTCCCCTACTCTGTTTTGACCTTATTATCTACTGTGGCACTTACATATTCCGTGAAGTAGTGATGCCCCTTCCCCCAGACACACGCAGACACACACGCACACACAGCGGGCTCACCCCTTGACACCAGTTGAAGGAGGCTGATTTGTTGTGCTATGCAATTTAATCCACCATTTTTTATTTAAGTAGGATGGCCTCTAGAATATTTTTCTTGTCCTAATACGAAGCTAAAATCCTACAAGGCCACCACTAATAATATGTAATATTACCAGTCTAAACATAGAGGGAGATTGCTTCCTTTTTAAAGGTTAAAGTTCATAGGATCATAGAGCAAGACCCTCTGGAATTCTCTCCCTTATAACTCGGCTTGTCTTGAAGAGGCTAGAAAATCAGGCCACAGCCCAGAGCAAATTGTGTTGCAGAGAAAATGCAGAGCTGATTCCCATCTCACACCTGCAGAATCTGCTGTCAGCTGTTCAATTCTAAGTTCTGTGGCTTTCCTCTGTTCCTGCCTGTTGGCTGGCTAATTTATTAACTCCTTAATATCTGCAGCAAAGATCGCATAGGCAAATATTTATGGGATCAAGAAAAACACTAGAATGAAAGGGTGATTGAGCAGGCTGACTGAATTTTGTGTTTACTGCACTAAATCATTGCTGAGAGTAGTCTCACCAGCTGCAAACGGTCCAGACTGACGTCTCAAAATTCAGCCTTGACTTCCTAGCCTAGCTTCCATTCACTTCACCTTCAGCAGCCCAGATAGCCATTCAGCACACTGTCTTCATTTTATGTTGTAGGCAAAAAGCCAACAAAAATATGGTCCCATTTAAAAGCCTTTTAAACAGTGAGCATCTCCCTCCTTTCCCAATTGTTCCCTGCTTTTTCACATTCCTAGTTAATAGGTTTTTAAAGCAGTCTCCCCAACTCTTCCTGCCACATACTGTCTTGCCTGGCACCTATGCAGCAAAAGGATGATCTTCATGAGGTTTTAAATCCATTGTACCTCTTTGCACCTTCCAGCCGCTAACTCTGCAGGTACTGGCTGTGTTTCTTGCTTAGCACATTTTGCATGTTCCAAACCATTCACAGCAACTACAGCAAAAGTGAGGTGAAAAACAAAAATAATAAATACAATGATTTTAAGTGAAGTTTAGGGCCATGTCTGCAGTATTCTATTTGCTCAAGGCATTTCACAGATTTCCAACAAGAGAAACATTTTTAGGAAGAATAAAATTTTGAGTTGAAATATAAATAAGAAGGTTTCTTCTCTCTCTCTTGAGATTTAAAGTTCTCTAGTAAGTCATAAGACTTTAGTTTGTTGAAACACCCATACTACATATTAGGCTGACTGGAAATCCTTCCCCCATTCTTGTTTTTATTAGTAGAATGAGGATAAGGAAAAGGTGCAAGCGAGGAGCATTAAATAATTTAAATGTTGAGAGCTGGTAAGGATTAGATCTGCATTTACAATTTTCATTTAACAAGTATTTATTGTCTGCTCTGTGCCAGGAATTGTGCTTAGGCATTGGATGTGAAGATGAATAGGAAACAGTTTTTGTCCTAGAAGAAGCTCACAGTCTAGTGAAGAAAGAGCCAAGTAAATAAGCAATTAATTATATGTATTTGGAGAAATAATGCTTCGTGGCTTTGCTTGAAGTTACAATGTTTTGTTTAGCTCAGAGATAAGAAATCTAGGGTATGCTGTTAAAGTCTGAAGTAAACAAACATTTCCCTTCCTGCCTACAGAAAATAATAATGACTAGCACTCGCTTTTAAATGCAATCATGTTTTTTTCAGGCCCTGCAGTGCTGTACGCTTTTTCTTCAATTTTGAGACCAGTGATCTCATCATGTTGCCAAAATGAATTGAAGTTTTCTAAGCAATGTTGCCATTATAAATTACTCTAATGTTAGTCTTTTAACATTTTTTTCGCCTGGTTTTGTCTGGTGGGTGATATTTTATAGTAAGCTACAGAACCTGACGAGCTCTAGTTCTCAAGGATAAAACTGTTTGTAACAATTATTTCTTTCTTTTCCTGTGCTACTGTTATGTCTGGCACAAATTTTATATTTAAATTACTTCCCATCATTTGCTTATAATTCTGACTCTTATTTATTTATTTATTTATTTCCTCACCCGAGGACATTCTTGCATTTATGTTCAGATAGAGAGGGAAGGAGAGAGAGAGAAACATCTATGGGCTGGGGACAAACTGTAACTGAGGTACGTGCCCTTAGCAGGAACTAAACGCGGGTCTCGCTGGTCCATGGGCCGACGCTCTAACCACTGAACCAAACCAGCCAGGGCTCTCTCCTTTAAAGAAGGGTTCAATGTCTTCATCCTACCTGATATCCCCAATACCTGATTGGCACACAGGATAGATTTAGGAAGGAAGGTAGGAGAAAGGAAGGAAGGGGAGAAGAAGAAAAGTGTTAGATCTTTTCTTCACACTGAAATAGTAAACAAATCTATTGTCACTACTGTGTCACTTCATCTTTGAAACCACAAGTTATTCTTTTATTTTTTTACTTTTAATTATTTAATTTATTGATACTGGGGGGAGGGGAGAGAGAAAGAGAGAGAGCTCGATTTGTGTTCACTTATTTATGCATTCATTGGTTACTTCTTGTATGCATTCAGGCAGCATTATTCATGGTGGCCAAGACATGGAGACAGCCAAGGTGTCACTAGTAGATGATTAGAAAAAGAAGATGTGGTATATATGAAGTACTACTCAGCTATAAGAAAAGATGAAATACTGCCATTTGTCAACATGGATGGATCTTGAGAATATCATGTTAAGTAAAATAAGTCAGACAGCAAAAATCAAGAACCGTATAATTTTACTCACATGTGGGAGGCAACTGATCAATGTTTCTCTCTCTCTCTCAAATCAATAAATATATCCTCAGGTGAGGATTAAAAAAATACTTGAGGTGGTAAACACACAATACAATATACAGATGTTGTATTATAGAACTGTATACAATAAAGATTAAAAAAAGAAAAAGGACTGTATACCTGAAACCTATATAATTTTATTAACCAATGTCACCCCAATAAATTCAATAAAAAAGTTAAAAATATATAATATAATAACAAAATACAGTACAATATAATTATAAAACAATTATATTTGGCAACACAAACGATTAGTAAGAAGAGTGGCATCATTTTACATGTTCAAATCTCTTTAATGTTTGACTTAATAGAAGACAGCTGGGTTCTCATAGTTGCTTCTGCATTCATCTCTTGTGAAATGTTGTTTTGATTGAAGTACATCTGAAAAAATCCAGCTTCATACAGATATGTAGTTGGAAAAGTGAGGAGTATTTTAACAGCCTTTTCAGATAATTGTGGATATTTTTCTTTGATACTGCACTAAAGCTCGACAAGTGGTAGTTTCTTGAAGGTGGTTTTCAATGTGAAATCTGAAACTATTACCAATGAACTTTCTGTAGTTGGTTATATTAAAATCCACTGGCATGTTGTGTCCTTTGGTGAATCTTTTACCCATGCATGATTTTGTAATTTCATGCATTGGTCAATTGGAAAACATTGGTTCATGAGTTATACGTATCATTACATAATATTTAAAAAAAATCACATATGTTAATTATCCGTAATACTGATCTCATCAGAAAAGTGTTGAACCATTGGGGAGCTGTAAAGCTCACAGTGGTGGATACAAGTAGTTCAAAACTCTAATTTTCATTTGAAAGTCATTGGCAACAATACTCTCATCCCCCTGGCCCCTCTTGAGGTTACAGATTCTGTTTATTTTTCAGAAAGTACCAGATACCCGAGTCTGAAAAAAACCCACAGTTTGTTTGCCAGTTGTTCTTTAAATAAAAATGATGTTCCATGAAAAAAGGAACTAGCAGTTCAGCTTGCAACCGAATTGCAACTCAAAGTATGACGAGAGAGCCCTGGTCCTTCATTCAGTGTGCAGCAGAAGGCTTTACGCATACTCCCATTTTGGTTTTTGTTGTTGTGTTGTTTGTTTGTTTGTTTTACATTACGCTACTACCTTGAGTGTATAATTTAAAAATTATAAATACATATTTCATAACTAAGCCTTTGGCCAAAAAAATAAAAGGAAAGTCATTTAGCACATTTGTGAAAGGCCAATAGGAAATGGAGTTTGAACATTAGAAAGATCAAGTCATTGACTTAAACAGCAGTAACCCCTGCTAATCTAGAATCCCGTTGTGTTGAAGGTAGAAGTGTCTGCGCAGAGCTAGTCATGTCTTTCAGCGATCAGAAGAGATGGGGGCGGTCACACCTGGCGGAGGTGGCAGAAGAGCTGGAGGACAGCAGGGCCAGGCAGGTGAGGGGAGCATGTCCCAGAGACAGCAACAACAGAGAGCAGTCCAGCAGGCTGTGAGGCAGGTAGATGGGCCCAGTCATCTCTTCTTTGGTCTTCTACCACATACACTGTGGTTTTAGGAGGCTCCTGAGGTCCACCTTGCCAGCCATACTGTGGGCATCCTTGGTAGGAGTACCCTTGAGAAGGTGGGTAAGGTCCTCCCATAGGTCCTGGGGGATAGACCTCAGGTCCCATTGGTGACTGTGGATAAGGTGGGTATGGGGCCATTGGACCGGTGCTCGAATATGGTGGAGGGTTCCCTTGGTTAATTAGGGACCTCAAAATGTACCTCTTCACCAATGAGCTGGGCACTGATAGGGTCCGGAGCGGACGGGACTAGGCGAGACCTCACAAATAGCGTCGCACCAGGCTGAGAGTCCACGCTCCCATTTTGTAACAGAATATTAGAAAGACTTGTATTCAAGGGTTGAGATGTAATAAAATTAATCATTTCTACTGATTCATTGAGGACAGTCTTACATGAAACTGGTTTTCCTCCCTGCACAGTGGTGAATGACAGCAGCTGATGCCACAGTCTTGATAGGTGCTAGGGTGGCAGTTGTTTTGAGAACTTTCATTTGATTTCATACACCCTTCCTCAGCCTCCATGCCTTCCCATTTCCTAAATTCATGAATTAGAAGAGCTCAGCTTCTCTTCCCAGGGACTCAAAACAAAAATTAGGAAGAGAGCCAAGAAGTAGACGAGAAGAAGGAGTAATAGGAAAGAAAAAGTATGTGGGAGTGGGAGGTGCAGAGAAAGAGAGAGATCTGGCTTATATTCTCTAGTCTGACTGTGTGTGTTTTAACTTATCTTAATTGTTGAATGTATTATAGATGTCCCTTTTTTCCCCCCTTTGACCCCCCTCCTCTCCAATTCCGCCCCCCTCCTGCTTTCCCTACACTATTGTCTGTGTCTATTGGTTATGCATATATGCATATAAGTTCTTTGATTTCTCTCTTTCTGCCCCACCTCCCCTCTTTCCTTTGAGGTTCAACATTCTAACAACCAATTTGTATTTCCTAGTCCCTTCATCTTTTTCACCGAACTTCCCTCCCACCTGGCAACCAACAAAAAGTTCTCTGTATCTATGAGTCTGTTTCTGTTTTGCTTGCTCATTTTGTTTGTAGATTCAATTGCTGATAGATATATTTTATTGCCATTTTATTGTTCATATTTTTTAATCTTTTTTTTCCAAGAAGACCTGTTAGCATTTCATATAATACTGGTTTGGTGGTGATAAACTCCTTTAACTTTTTCTTATATGGGAAACTATATAGCCATCGATTCTAAATGATAGCTTTGCAGGATAGAGTAATTTTGGTTGTAGGTCCTCGCTTTTCATCACTAAATATTTCTTGCCGCTCCCTCCTGGCCTGAAAAGTCCCTTTTGAGAAATTGGCTGACAGCCTTATGGGAGCTCCATTGTAGGTAACAAAGTGCTTTTCTCTTGCTGCTTTTAAGATTCTCTCTTTGACTTTAACTTTTTGCATTTTTGATGTGATGCATCTTGGTGTGGTCCTCTTTGGGTTCATCTTGTTTAAGGCTCTCTGTGCTACCTGGACTTGTATGTCTGTTTCCTTTACCAAGTTAGGGAAGTTTTCTGTCATTATTTTTTTCAAATAAGTCTTCAATTTCTTGCGCTCTCTCTTCTCCTTCTGGCACTCCCATGATGCAAATGTTGGTACACTTGAAGTTGTCCCACAGGCTCCTTTTACTATTCTCATTTTTTTGGATTCTTTTTTCTTTTTGCTGTTTTGATTGGGTGTTATTTGCTTCCTTATATTCCAAATGAATGATTTGCTTCTTGGCTTTACCTAGTCTACTACTGGTTCCCTGTAAATTATTCTTTATTTCAGTTCGTGCATCCTTCATTTTTGACTGGTTCTTTTTTATGCTCTTTAGGCCCTCACGAAGTTCATTGAGTGTTTTTATAAGCAGTGTTTTGAACTCTGCATCTGTTAGATTGTTTATCTCTATTTCATTTAGTTCTTTTCCTGGAGTTCTGTTCTGTTCTTTCACTTGGGACATGTTCCTCTGTCTCCTCATTTTGGCTGCCTCCCAGTGTTTGTTTCTATAAATTAGGCAGAGTTGCTATGTCTCCTAGGCTTCCTATGGTGGCCTGTTGTAGTAGGTGTCCTGTAGGGTCCAGTAGCACAACCTCCCTAGTCACCCAGCTGGGCCCTCGAGGTGCACCCCTCGTGTGGACTTTACACCCTTCTGTTGTAATTGAGTCTTGATTGCTGTTGGCACGTCAGTGGGAGGGTCAGCTGCAAGGACAGCTGTGCCCACTAACAACCAACCTCTGACTACCTTGGAGGATCAGCTGTGCAGGGGCCCACCACACCGAGCAAGACTTACTTCAGTAGGGCTCTGGTACCCACTGAGTCCACTCATTGAGTGTGTCACTGTGGAGGTGGTTGGGTGGTGGTGGTTTGATGTGGTCTGAAGCTGTCCACTGGGTGTGCTGGCTCTGGGGCAATGTCAGCCACTGCCTGTGTTCTACCCAGGGCCACCAGGCATAAGCTACAAAGTGATCTGCAGATGGCTGCTTTTTGTGCTGGCCTTCTAGGTGCCCAGGCAAAGCCAAGTTGTGAACCAAGGCGGGCTGCTCCTAGTGCCGGGCCTGGGACCACTTAGTGAGAGGTATGGGGCTCGCTGTGGCTAGATACTGCTTGTTTGAGAGAATTTAGGAACATGTGAAGCAAGAGCCAAAACAGGCCAATCCTATGGTAAAGTCACTGGCAACAGGTTGGGTGGGCCAGAAAGTTGGGTGGGGCGGGGCCTCAGGGAATCACCAGGGCAGGGCAACCAGTGTGAGCCAGATTGCTGGAGTCCCAGATATGACAGCTGTCTACCGGCCCTGTGGGGGAAGGGGTCACCAAAGGAACAATGTCCTCCACCAGCACGTCTGTCCAGGAGAATGTTGCCTCTTCAGTCCTCGCCCTAATGCCAAACAACTTAGTTCTCCCCCAAATGTCTCTGGTGCCTTTCAAGCTGCCTCCCCAGTGCTGAAGCTTAGAGGGAGCAGGTCCAAGTAAGTCCATGTGCGGGCCCATTAAGAGGAGCTGCCTGGGGCTCCAGCAGCCTCAGCCTCCCTCAACCTATGTTCCCACTGGTTTTTCCAGCCAGAAGTTATGGGGATTCTCTTCCTGGCCCTGGAACCCTGAGCTGGGGCCCTGGTGTGGGATGGGGACCCCTCACTCCTCAGGGAAGACCTTCCCAGCTGAGGTGTCCCTGCTGATTTTTATCTGCCACACATGGGTGTGGGACCAGCCCATCTGCCTCCGCCCCTCCTACCAGTCTTGATGTGGTTGCTTCTTTAACTTTGTAGTTGTAGGACTTTCATTCAGCTCGATGTCAGATGGTTCTGAAGGATGTTTGTTCTGTTGTTTAGTTGTAATTTTGATTTGGTTGTGGGAGGAGGCTATACCTCATTTACCTATGCCACCGTTGACTGTGTTTTAAAAATCTCTATGTCGGAACTTATTTTTAACCTTTGAGTGTTTGAGTTGGGAAAGTATTCTTAATAATAATTTCAGAAATTGTATTTAAAAATTGCAATAAAAAAATAAAGTATTTCTTCACGACAAAAAAACATACCATCAAGTCAAGAGACAAATATTTGAAACTTATGTTGAACAAAGGAATAATCTCCTTAATATAAATAAAGAACTCCTAGATACACAGAATAATGGATGAAACATATAAACACATATTTCATAGAAAAGGAAATATAAATGACTCCTTAACATATGAAAAATGTTCAACCTTACTCTTCATAAATACAAATTGTAGATACAATAAAATACCATTTTCCACTTATCAAATTAACAAAATCCTTAATTTGACAATATATTGGCAAGACTATAGAGAAAAGGATATTCTTGTACACTGATTGTGGGAGTATAAATTGGTATATCCCCTATGGAGGGCAATTTAGAAATATCTATCAAAATTACAAATTACTCTTTGCCCAAGCAATTTCACTTCTGAGAATTTTTCCTGTCAATGGACTTGCATATGCATATATATGAAATGACTTTTTTTTTTAAATAATGATATCCCCCCCCCCAAGATAGAGAGAAAGGGAGAGGGAGAAAGAGAGATAGAAACACCAATTGGCTGCCTCCTGCACACCCACTACTGGGGGTCAAGCCCAGAACCTCGGACATGTGCCCTGACCTGTAATCGAATCAGTGACCTCTTGGTGCATGGGACAATGCTCAGCCCACTGAGCCACAACAGCTGGGCTAAATGACATTTAAACAAAGTTGTCTTTTGTTGTTTTTTTGGTATTGGTTATATTTGCAAAAGTTCAGAAACAACGAGCTGTCCATCAGTAGTGAACTAATACCAATGGTTCAACATTTATTGAAGGAGTAAATAGTAATGGGGCATATTGGGGTAGGAATAGGAGGGAGACTTTTAAAAAAATATGTTTTTACTGATTTTATTTTTATTTATTTATTCATTTATTTAATTTATTTTTGTTACAGCTGTTTCTTTTTTCCCCTCATTGACATCCTCCTCCCGTTTCCACCCTCCCGCCCCCCAGCATTGTTGTCTATGTCTATTGGTTGTTTTTACTGATTTTAGAGAGAGGAAGAGGGAGAGAGAGAAAAACATCAGTCAGTTGCCTCCATACAAACCCTAATGGCGGCTGAATCCAGAACCTGGGCATGTGCTCTGAGCAGGAATCAAACCAGCGACCTTTTGGTACATGGGACACTGCTCAACCAACTGAGCCACACCAGCCAGGGCAGGAAGGAGAATTTTCATTGTATATCTGTCTCCATATATTTTATTTTTAAATTTTAAAAATATATTATCCATCAAGTTTCTAAAAATAATTAAAAATTTTTCTTTGTATTACCTGGCAAGTACTACATTTCTTCTTTGCAGTTGCTAAGATAGAAAGTGGGAAGAACAAGAATTCGTCTGTTTTCTGAAGTGAAATTGAAATTATATACCTAATAGTATTGTATTTTCACTAGTCACCTATACACATCAATAGGATGAATGAAACAGACACTGACATTGCATTGCTATGAGGTAGATTTTATGATAATGGTACACTTTTAATTAAATTTCACTTTTAGTTCCACTCTTTTTCCTCCTAGGGACACTATCATCTTTCCTATCCTTTATTTCCTTCCTTCTTCTCTTTCTTCCTTCCTTCTTTTTTTCATTTTCATAAACATGAGCTTTCACTCATGTTCAATACCCAGACCTAAATAAAAATATTTGAAGAAAGAACTATGGGAATTGACAGATGTCTGTATGAGATTCCAGTGGTTCAGAATTATGTCCAATAAAGCAGGGTCTATATTATACCAAATAAACTGATTAAAAATAGAAAATTTTATTTAAAACTTTGTGAAGATGGAGACAGAGGCTGGATTGCTGAGTTCTGAGACAAGTCCCAGAGTTTGAGTTTTTTTATTTATTTTTTTAATCCTCACCTGAGGACATTTTTTGCATTTATCTTCAAATAGAGCAGGAGGGAGAGAGGGAGGAAGAGAGAGAGAAACATCAATGTGAGAGAGAGACATTGACTGGTTGCCACCCACATGACCCCCAACCGGGGCTGGGGACAAACTACAACCGA